AGTGATTTATGAGGGTAAGACATTTTGCAGATAATGAAACTGGGTCCCATACTTGACCACTGTTAGTTAGGCTATTAGGAATTTATGGAGTCCTTCCATATCACATTAGAAGCAGCAGATTAGAAGTAAGGGTAGAATAGAATCCTTTTATAATAATGAGAAGTTACTGTGTATACTCATGTAGTTATTTATTCATTTTTCAATTCACTCAGCAAATATTTATTGTTCATTTTCTCTATGCCAGGCATAGAGGTACAAAAACTATCAAAAGCAGATGGAAGACTTAGAAATCATGGTCCTCTGGTGTCATCTGTCACCACTCTATGGGGATAGCAAGACATTATATATAATGAATTTTTTTTTTAGGAAGTCTTTAAATAAAAAGTTCATTGGGGCGCCTAGGTGGTTCAGTTGGTTGAGTGCCCAACTTCAGCTTGGGTCATGGTCTCGCAGGTTTTGAGTTTGAGCCCACGTCAGGCTCTGTGCTAACAAACAGCTAGGAGCCTGGAGCCTGCTTCAGATTCTGTATCTCTCTCTCTCTCTCCCTCCCCTGCTCATGCTCTGCCTCTCTCTGTCTCTCAAAAATAAATAAATGTTAAAAAAATTAAAAAAAATTAAATAAAAAGTTCATTTATCTGCATGCCTTATTTTTTGGTTATAGCCACTAAGATATGTTGTATTGTTTAAGTAGTGGTGTTTGGTCAGATTAGTAGAGTATTTGATATTTTTATAAACTTGGTGGGCCAACCTTCATAAACTGTGTCACATTTACTCAAGTTTCTATATTTTATTTTATAGCTTGGATCTTTCTTCTTCCATTATGATAGGGTATAGCTTTGACAGGTATTATCATTTAGAACAAGGGATTGGCAAGCTGTGGCTTATGGGCCAAATCTGGTCTGCTGCTTGCTTTGTAAATAAAGTTTTATTGGGACACAGCCATACCCATTTGTGTATGTATTGTCTGTGGCTGCTTGTACACTCAAAGGCCAAATTGAGTTGTTGCAAAAGAGACATTCTGGCCAGAAAACCGACCTATTTACTATCCCATCCTTTACACAAAAACTTTGCTGACTCCTAATATAGAAGTTATAATTTTTGGAAATTATGTTTCTTTTCATGAAAAAGGGAAAGCCTGACAAACATTGTTTTATGTTTAGTATAAATGAAACCTAAGGTGCTCATTTGACCCTAGGATTTTCTTCAGAGGCAAATTTAGCTTTTGGTACATTTTCTTAAAATACTATTTAAATACTATTTAATCTATTATATTTCATAAATTCATTCAAATTTGTACTACTTTTGTTGTGTGAATGTGAAAAGACAATTAAAAAAATCTAAAGATTTTTATTCAGAAAGTATAGATTTAGTTGGATAACAATAGTAGAAAAAATTTTCTAAGACAACCAGAGAAATGTGAACATTGATGAAATATATTTTGATTCTAAAGATTGTTTATTTTTTATGTGTCAATTGCTTATGCTGAGGTTCTGTTTTTTAAAAATTCATATTTTAAATTAAAAAAATAAAAATTGAAATCAAATTAAAAATGGTTTCAAAGAGTTACGTGCTTATTGTTTAATTTGGTTGTTACATGTTATTTCCAAATACAGCAAGTTCTCCTTTATTTGCACTTTGTGTATAAGCTTTTAATGATCAATAGCCATTAATTTGTCTTTCATCAGTTTTATTTATTTATGATGAACAAAGAAGCAACAGATAAAATAGATAGAAATCAGTTTTAAGTCCAAAGAAATAACTATCATTTTCTCCTATATCTTTCTTTTCCAGAATAATATATTTTGATTATTGGGATCCCTGAGCAATCTTGAGAGCTTTCTGAATCACGAAATGACACTTTTTAGGCTGATTATGGAGTCATGGTTCTCTGGAAATGGGTGGTTGCCAGCCATGAGATTGCAGTTCGCATCTTGTATTTGCGCCCATAGCCCTTGCCTGGACCTTGACTGTGCTAGTGCTTGCTGCAGCAGCCAGAGGGCAGCTTGGAGGAGGTTTCATTCCCCCCACCCCCACTCACCCCAGTAGAGTGTTGCTGCTTTTTGTTTTACATCACCGTGAGACTTGTTTTAATGTAAATTACATTGGGTAAAACACAAGGAAAATACTGTCCCTTAAAGAATTTTGACCCCCTAGCTTATTATTACTTGTTTAATATCTTGCCAATGTTTGTTTAATGCTTAGTATGCTTTAGGCACTCTTGTAAATGCCTGGGTATGTCAATGAAAAAACAAAGATTCCCATTCTTACGAAGCTTACAGTTTATTTGAGGAAGATAGAAATAAATAATAGACATATAAATTATAAAGTGTATAGTATGTTAGAAGGTGAAAAAAATGTGAAAAGAATAGAATGACAGGGATTGAAAGTCCTAGGTAGGGGAATACAGTGTGTTGGGTACAGTTTTTTGTTTTTTTTTTTTTAGGTTTATTTATTTTGAGAGAGACTGAGTGTGAGTGGGAGAGGGGCAGAGAGAGGGAGAGAGAGAATCCCTAGCAGGCTCCATGCTGCCAGCGCAGAACCTGACATGGGGCTTGAACTCACAAAACTGTGAGATCATGACCTGAGCTGAAACCAAGAGTCAGAAGCTTAACCAACTGAGCCACCCAGGTACCTCATGTTGGGTACAGTTTAAATAGGCCTCCTCAAAGGAGACATTCGAGCAGATGAGGGAATATGCCATTTGGGAAATAAGGAAGAGCCTAATAGAGGGAACATTCAGGGTGAATGCCTTGAGGCTGGAGGTTCCTTGACATGTTTGTGTTTTTATAGGAGGCTGGAGTAGGGTAAGCAAAGGGGCAAGGGGAGTAAGAGATGAGGTAAAGAGGGAGCAGAAAGGATCAGATCACTTGAGAGCTTGTAGATTCTTATGAAGACTCCAGTGTTTACACTAGAGTTCTCGTGAGAGGTTTTACAAGTTTTGAGAGGAGGGATATAATTTTTGTCTGACTTGTGTTTTACAAGGATGTCAGTGGCCAGTGAGCATAGACTGGGACAGGGAGCAAAGCAAGGCAAGCATTAAAATATTGAGTCCATTGCAACAATCCAGGTAAGAGATGATGGTAGTTCAGAGAAAGGGGTTAGCAGGGGAGGTGGTGAGAAGTGGTCAGATTCCAGATATTTTACAAAGGTATATTCTATGGGATTTCCTAAACTTGATTGAGGCAAAATTTCCCTAAAAGCTTTCTCCTTGGGGAGTCATAAGACTGAGAAATTGGAATTGATACTGCATGTAATATTCTAGAAAATGAATTTTTGGCATGTTAGTATCATGTAGCTTTTCAGAATTTTAAAATTACTTCGAAAGCACTGTGCCATTCTGTGTGATGATTAACTACTAGACAGGTAGTTTTTGATAGTAGGAAAAGGTCATATATTCAGTGTTCTTATTCATAAGATGGCATCCAAATAGTCAACTTCCTATGAATATTATAAAATGGCTAAGGTATTTTAAAAACTTGCATAGCAGCCAGTGGCAAGTTGGTTTAATTTAGAAGCAATGACTGTTTAAGAAATGAAAAATAAAACTAAGAATATTTTGTAAAATGCCATTGATTCCAGATACTGGGCTTGAACCCAAGATGAAATGGGCGTGCTAAGAATACTAGATTCAGCTCCAAATTTCTGTTCTGATCACTTAATATGCTACTTCGGCATCTCTTTTACATCTTTGCATGGAGAGAAGTTATTTCTTATATCACATTCCTTTTCTGGAAGGAGGAAGTGCTAAAAATGCCATCAGGACAGCTTAACTCACATTCAGGTTTCTATTTCAGTTATTCTTCATTTGAACTTTACATGACAGCTTTTCTTTGCATTTTCTTTGCAGTGGTCTTCATTTGATACAAGAATAGGAGAAACTGTTCTCTATTTCAGAATCCTCTAGAATTTAAAAAAAAGATACAGAGGTTTGAAGGAGTAAAGTTGTTTATTCTTGTTGGCTCTCTCTCCATATATTGGAAAACAGTTATTGGACTTAACCATTTAGTTTCTCAATAGAACTATTTGGACATTTCTGAGTATCTCCTTAGATTTTGTTTTGCCAGTATGTCATTGGTCTCCTTACTAACAAATGAATCTAAAGACTTCAGTATGCATTACTTTGAGTTTTAGTGTTGGAATGATTAGAAGAACAGAAACAAAAACTAGAGAGCCAAAAACTAATGAGCAGGCATAAGTTCAAGGAAACCCATTACTAGCTGGCTGAGAGCTTTAAGAAGTTGGCTATGGAAGGAGATGAAGTGATTGATTTTTATGGTAACCACTTGCTGTTACCGTGTTAGGGAATGGAGTGGTTAATTATCCTGCATGCCCTTTGAAATCTTTGGAAATAAGTCTTTTACAGTTAGCTAACAGTATCCTTTCATTTACTTCATTATGTTAAAACTTGCAGTTTAGGGCTTAAAAAATTACTTTTGGGACACACCACAGTACTCGCCACAGTAAAAATGATTCTGAGAGTCATATATTTTATAGGTCATTTATATATTTTTGTTGCATTAAGACTTGCAAATGTAAGCACATCTCATTGTTTTTGGTCATCTCTAGATGTACCCACTCATTTTAGGTAGACCCAGGTGTTATAGTAGGTAAGAATACTAAATCTGAGGACATTCACTGATACTTTGACTCTTAACTTGGTTAAATGGATCGTGTGACCATGATGATCCAAGAGAAATCTTAGTATTTTCCATGGGGAAATCAACTATTTTTTGCATCTCAGGGTGAATTTTGCCGGTTTTTACTTGTTGGTTATTGCAAATGAAATTGTACCATTTCCAATTGTAAAATTTCTAACTTGGGGAAAATGTTTAAATAATTTTGGGGCATGTAGCCATATTGTTATTTTGAGGTAATAAACCTAGAATTATATCTATATGCAAAACATTTTTTCAGTTGCCTTACTATATGATTTATATTACTTTATTGATATAGGAAGAGATGAAACTGAATTTTTAAAAGAATAATTTTTCTGTTGTTAGCTTTTTAGTTGGAGAAGGAGCCTACAGATGGGCAGTAGATCATGGAATACCCTCTTGTCCTCCTAACATCATGACCACAAGTGAGTAAAAATTTTTCAAAATTAAGCTATATTGGCATATATACCTGAAAGTGTTACATTGTTTTAATCCACATGGTACTCTGATATTTAAGGAAGGAAGCTTACATGTTGAAATATTTAAAGTTAAAAGATACATTGAAAGTTATTTGATTTTAAGCCACTTTTTATATTCCTGAGGTTTCCCCCATTCTCATGCTTTTATGGAAGTATTGCTAAAGGATCCCTTTTAGGTTACTTAATATAATTACTAAGAATAAAACCTTAATACTACCCCCCTCATAGAGGGAGAAGAAAACAGAGGTCAGCATTTATCTGTCTTTGAGCTGAGGAAGGCCTTCCTAGGGACCAAGTGCAAGAGAAGGAAGAACAAAAGTATGACTACATAAGAGTTAAGACTGAAAAAACACTTACCATAACACTTACCATGACAAAGTGATACATATCCTTAATCCGGGAGAAGGTATGTCAAATTTAAAACCACACAAATACAAATAATACCCAAAAAGAAAAATGATCAAAAGTCGTAAATATATAATATAATATAACTAATAGGGAAATTCAAATTAAAAAGAGTACATGTTAAATTTGTTCCCTCTTAATTTCTGAAAGAGTTAAAAATACTGTATTACTGCTCATAAGTGTGTGGTGAAATGAACATAATACATTGTAGGTACAAATGTAAATTGGCAGAAATTTTAGGGGACAACTAAGTAGTATAGAGCAAAACCTTAAATTTATCCTGCTTGTAGGAACTTGTCATTAGAAATAGAGACAAAGATTTATGTAGTTCTCAATAAGCATTATTAAGAATATCAAAACTAAATGGCAACCAACAGAAGGGGAGAAGATCTTTGCAAATGACATACCAGATAAAGGTTAGTATCCAAAATCTATAAAGAACTTATCTAACTCAACACCCAAAAAACAAACAATCCAGTGAAGAAATGGCAAAAGACATGAATAGACTTCTCCAAAGAAGACATGCAGATGGCCAACTGACACATGAAACGATGCTCAACATGACTCATCATTAGGGAAATACAAATCAAAACCACAATGAGATACCACCTCACACCTTTGAGAATGGCTAACAGTAACAACTCAGGCAACAAGAGATGTTGGAGAGGATGTGGAGAAAGAGGATCTCTTTTGCACTGCTGGTGGGAATCCAAACTGGTGCAGCCATTCTGGAAAACAGTATGGAGCTTCCTCAAAAAGTTAAAAATAGGACTACCCTACGACCCAGCAATTGCAGTACTAGGCATTTATCCAAGGGGATACAGGTGTGATGTTTCGAAGGGGCACACTCACCCCAATGTTTATAGCAGCACTATCGACAATAGCCAAAGTATGGAAAGAGCCCAAATGTCTATTGATGGATGAACAGATAAAGATGTGGTATATATATTTACAATGGAATATTAGTTGGCAATCAAAAAGAATGAAGTCTTGTCATTGGCAACTATGTAGATGGAACTAGAGGGTATTATGCTAAGCGAAATTAGTCAGAGAAATACAAAGATCATATGACTTCACTCATATGAGGACTTTAAGACACGGAACAGATGAAAATAAGGGAAGGGAAGCAAAAATAATATAAAAACAGGGACGGGGACAATACACAAGAGACTCTTAAATATGGAGAACAAACAGGTTTACTGGAGGGGTTGTGGGAGGGAGGGTGGGCTAAATGGGTAAGGGGCATTAAGGAATCTACTCCTGAAATCACTGTTGCACTATATGCTAACTAGCTTGGATGTAAATTAAAAAATAAAAATAAAAAGCAAAAACAAAAAACAAAAAACACTCAACAGTTTGTGAAAAAAAAAAAAAAAGAATATAAAAAAATTTGAAAAAATCTTAATGCCCAACAGAAAGAAATGTAAGCAAATTATCATACGATGATATGTAGTAACTCGAAATTGTTATCAAGAATAATGTCTGATAATGATTAAATCTAATGACTGAAAAATGAAAAATGAGTTATAAATATTTACATGTGAAATGTAAAAATGTTAAATTTTTATTTTTTACCATGCTAATCTATGACTATAATTTAAAGAATCAAATGAGAAAATGAGGAATCATTAACTGCGAGGAGTTAAACCAAAAAGGTAATGATTATATATCATAAGAGGTATTTGATAAGGATCAGCTTTTAATAACATTATATTCAAAATGAATAATCATGTAGCTGAATGTTATAGGGAGGCAGAGAAATATGTACATGGTAGGCAAACAGGGAGTGTTAGAGGTCTAATTCTCATAGTCCCCACCACTAATTCTACCTTAAAATCTTCCCAGTAGCATGTATTTAGTTTTTATGTCAGGCAAACAAATCTGGTCAGTTGATAGTTCCATTTTGTTTTTTCTTGGAGACATGCCAGCTGGCACCTTAAAGTTTAGAATGGGTTCACAGAAAGCCTGCTGAGGGATTGTCATCCCTGGTCTTTACCTCACTATCATTTTGGATTCCCATTTTGTCTCTCCAACATCAAATTCTCTGATTCCTGAGTCTCATATGTTTGTTTCTTTTTCATTGTATTCCATTGATATATGTAAGACTAGAAATTGTTTTCCCTGGGTTTTGAAGAAATTGTTCTCTCATGTTCTAGTTTCCAGTCTTTCTGTTGTGCATTTTGATTCCCAGTTCTTTGTGGTATATTTTTCATCTTTGGAAGGAAGCCTTAATTCCTATGTTCTTCTTATTATAATGAAACATCTTGGAATGGGTCTTTTTTAATTCAGTATGTCTGGTACTCATCCTGAGTACTTTTAATCTGGAAATTCATGTGCTTTATTTTGGGGAGAAATAAAAAAATTGTGTATTAATATCTTCCCTTATCTTTCCTCTTTTTTATTTTTCTAATTTCTATGAATTGGATGTTGGATCTCATGCTCCAATCCCTTGTATCTTTTTCAAAAGTGATTTTTTCTTCTTTTTGAAATCATTTTTGTCCTACTGTCTCAGAAATGTCTTCAGTTTTGTCTCCTAAACCTTCTACTTCTGATGAATTTATAATTTTGGATTTTATTGTCTTAATTACTAGAGATTCATCTGTGATTAATCCTTTTTTTTTTTTTTTTTTTTTTTTTTTTTTTTTTTTAATTTTAAGTAAGCTGTATGCCTAGCGTGAGGCTTGAACTCACAACTCCGAGATCAAGAGTTGCATGCTCTGTTGACTAAGCCAGCCAGGCACCACACTGACTAATACTTTTAAAATGTAGTGCACTGTTCTTATTTCATGAGCTCAATATTTTTGCTCATCTCTTAGGATATTATGGTTTAAAATTTGCTATCTGCTGTTTCTGCTTCTTCTTTCCTTTTGTTTGTTTCATGCATGTTAGCAAATTTTTCTATCTAGTGACCCCTTGCTGTTTTCACATTTATGAATATGGTACTTAAAAGCCATTTGGAAGCTTTGTGTTTGATGACAGGTCTGGTTGACCTCAAGAAGGGTGGTGTGATCAGGCTCTTTTGTTGGGGGGAATTCCCAGGTATTCCCCCCAACAAAACCAGTTGTATCTGTTTTCTTTTGGATTAGTGAGAGAGAAATTTTCCCAGGTCTGCCAGGGCTATAGCCAGTATTGTGGTACAGAACAAGGGCAGGGGCTGGAGGTCTCACCTTTCCTGTTTCAGACTTATGTAGAACCCCTGATGTGGAACTTTTGTGTAGAGCCCCTGATGATACCTGTTCCCACTTGTGCTGGATGTACACTAATTTGAGGTCCATATGGTTTAGTCAACCTCATATTTTCTGCGGGCATGAAGGGGGGATTTAGGCATCTCCATGTTTCTTACTGACACTTTCCACCAGTTCTCCTATTTTTAGTCCCAACCTGGCTTTCAGAAATACCAGGTGCCTGGGGCGCCTGGGTGGCTCAGTCGGTTAAGCGTCTGACTTCAGCTCAGGTCACGAACTCACGGTTCACGAGTTTGAGCCCCACGTCGGACTCTGTGCTGACAGCTCAGAGCCTGGAGCCTGCTTTGGATTCTGTGTCTCCCTCTCTTTCTGTCCCTCCCCTGCTCATGCTCTGTCTCTGTCTCTCTCTCTCTCTCTCAAAAAAATAAACATTTTAAAAAAATTTAAAAAAAAAATACCAGGTGCCTTTTATTCTGAGGTCTTGTAGTGTTTCTTTGGAAGGAATTTGTTTACTTTGGAAGAGATTAGTTTGCGTTGTGATGTCTTGGCTACCAGGCATCTGGATTCATCTTCCTCTACTCAATCAGTAACTGTCCATTTGCTTTCTGTTTTCTGAAATTGTGTTGCTACTGCCCTTTTTGTCATCATCCCTTATGTATGTCAGTCTTTTTTCTCCCTTCAGTTTCTTTTTGGTAAGATTTTAGTAGGGTGTGAAGTGAACTCATTTATATATTCACTTTGCCAGTTTTACTTCAGAGCATTTATATAAAAAGGTGTTATAAAATCACAATTACTAGATATTTTGCAGGAGGACAAAAATATTTTTGACTAATATATTAGTATCCTCAAAATAAGAAATATATATTTGTTTTATGCCATAAACTTCTTATATAACCAACCAGCAAGAAATATTCTCTGAATAAATAGGTATTTGAAAGTTGTGTGATTATATTCACACACACACATATAATATGTATATTATATATAATATATTACAAAAAATCATATTGACCTATGGTCAATTTAGAGGGAGAAATTATAATTATTATTTAGATTAAACATTTTTTTAAATGCTATTCTATATTGGGCACTTGTCTATTCCTCAGTAAAAATTAGTTTCTATACTTGGTAATGATGTGTTTTAACCTTGACTACCTTTTGTGTTGGTGGGGGGGCATAACTGGTGGGTTTTTATCCCCTTTCAGTGTTCCAAAGTTTTCGGAATGTCTTTCTCAGTTTATTCTAAAATAATATTTTACATAGTGTCTCACATACTTAATACTTCATTCCTCTATGTAGATGTAAATTTCTATCTGGTATTATTCCCTTCATCTGGCACAAGCATTTCTGGTAATG